TCAGGGGGCGGGGCCACGTGGGAAATGGAGCTGTCCCCAGGGGCGGGTCCTTCTGGGAGAGGGGTGGAGTTATCCCTTAGGGGGCGTGTCCTAGGAGGGGCGGGACCACGCGGGAATGCTGTCCCCAGGGGCGGGGCCTTCTGGGAGAGGGGTGGAGCTATGCATTGGGGGGTGTCCTTCTGGGAGAGCAGGGGCTGCAGGAGGGGTGGAGCTGCCCCCAAGGGCGGGCCCATGGCCTCACGTGCCCTGTCTCCATGTCTCCCCCAGGTATGTGGGACCCGGTCCTCCAAGCGAATCTCCAAGCGGGCTTACCACCAGGGAGTGGTCATTGTGACCTGCCCCGGCTGCCAGAACCACCACATCATCGCGGACAACCTGGGCTGGTTCTCCGACTTGGAGGGGAAGAGGTGAGGAGGCCGCTTGGGCAGGGTTGGGGGACAGCGTCCCAGGCCAGAGCCCCACCCGCCTCCCTCATGAGGTGTACCGAGCCCTCTTCTCCCACCTTATCAAACTGGAGGAGCAGCTACATTTGAATTTCAGAGAAACCACCAATAACTTTGTATAAATGAGCCCCAGGACCGACTGCAGGCAGGACCCATCTGTCGGGGCCACAGGCCTCCCCGAGAGTGAAGGGTCAGGCGAGGTTGACTCTTAAATCAATGGCTCTTGCATTTTGTGGTGCCTTCCTTCACCCTACAAAGATGTCTGAGTGCCTGCTGTGGGGCGGCGAGCTTGTCCTCTATCCATGCTGGCTGGTCGACACACCAGACGGGTGCGTGTGAGGCGGTGTGGCCGAGGCCTTGGGCCTGCAGAGTTGGTACCCTCTGTGGAGAGCAGGGGGGGCAGTGGTCAGGAGCCTTGAGGCCAGGTGGCCCTCCACAGTTCAGATGGGCTTCTGAGCGCGCATTCTCCCAGGGAGTGGGCCGGTAACAGCCACCCCTGGGGGGCGTGGAGAAGGCCCCCCGAGGGCAGCGTGCAGTGGCCCATGTGCCGTGGCCCCGATGCCACCCAGGGCAGGGAACCGTGTTCCTGGCTCAAGCTTGGCCGTGGGTGCCCTCGAGGGCCGAGTTGCAGGACAAGCGAGGGGCCCTGAGCGTCATGGTGCCTCCCTCTCCCTCAGGAATATTGAAGAAATCCTGGCAGCCAGAGGGGAGAAGGTGTGCCGAGTGGCCGGTGATGGGGCTCTGGAGCTGGTGCTAGAGGCCGCGGGGGCCCCCCGATCTACCACTGCAGCAGAAGGGGGTGAGGACGAGGATCCCACCCACCCTGGCAAGACAGAGCCCAGCTGACCCTGCCTCCCGCCCTTGAGGGGGCTGCTGCGGCCGGGCCGCTGTGCACGCGCCGGCTTCTGCAATAAACAGACATCACTTGCAGGCGACGGGCCCTGGGCTCTGCTGTTGTCCCTGTTCCGAGTCAGTAACTCCCAGGAACCCCTCCAGGTGCAGCCGCGGGACCCCTGGCCCA